CAGGGCCATGTGGGGGTGGGGGTTAAGATGGGGTGGGGGAGGGGGGCACTGGGGAGAGTCAGGAGGCAGAGGGAGTACTGGGAAAATATGAGGAGCCACTATTTTGTGCTTTCCTGGGAAGGAAAGGGTGAAGCAGGTTTAGGATTGCCTGCTTTAAACAATTTCAGTGGGTACAGGGTGGTCCTAATTGTTTGGTAACTGGCTGTGGAACACAATTGTGGAACACCATCGTGAAGCATTTATGCAAAGCAAGAGCCCAGTAGAGGAGGTGGCAGTGGTCTAGGTGCTGGTGTGGCTTGCTAGCTGAAGGTCATGTTTGCAGGACCTTTACAGTCTGTAGGAACTGGTCAGTTCTGGGAGGGTCAAAGAGGACCCAAGTCATCCAAACATCAGTAGCATGCTTAATTCAGGCTTTTGTTTAATCAAAATCATGATCTTTAAGTCTCTTTGAATTCTAATGAAATATTTAATTCTATCTACTCTTGGTCTTTTTCTGGATATAGAATTAATTTTTTATTGTACTCACTATCTTGCCCATGTAATTGTAACCCCTCTGTATGGTATTTTCATAATAAAAATAAAAAAGAATTAATTTTTTAGTTTAAAATGCTAATGTCCTATGTTGAAGGAAAAGCAGTATGACTTGAATTATTTTTCACATTTTGCACTTCAGCTGTTATATTTTTTCTGTGAAAAAACAGAAAAAACTGGTCAGATTTTGCTTAGAGAATTACTAAGTTCACCCCTCTTTTAACTAATGTGAGCTAAATAATACTAATAATATAGATGTTCAGTAGGTTTTATAGCTCAGTGTATCAATTTTTGGTAATGAGCTTATTGTGTAACAAGATTTGTAACCAAAGGCTTAGAATAAGAAAACTTCCTATAGCTGACATAGTAATTCTTCAAAGGTGGTATATTTTTGTGATATTATATTAATATTAGTAACATTAATTCCTTGCCTCTTAACTTTATGAGATGGTATAGCCTTTCCACTAAACAACATGTGTAAAATACAACATAATGATCTTCTTTATAAATAGCGTAAATTCCATGTGGGAGTTACTTAATATGGCTCTGATGGCTTTGTGAATGGTAGAACACATTCCATGCTATGTATGTGTGTGTGTGTGTGTGTGTGTGTGTGTGTGTGTGTGTGTGTGTGTGTGTGAATCAGGGCCAGCCTATGTATTTCAACAGGCACATCCCTTCCTGGTAGAGCAGCTGCTGCTACTTTCCCCAGCGCGAGGAGGGCTGCAGTGATAGACATTAATTCATCAATGCTTATTCAGCCAGTAGTGTTTGGCTTCAGCCTTGCCTCCTCCATCAAGTCTTCTGACTGTACCAAATGAGCCACTGTCCCCTACAGTCTAATGTAGCACAGGCTGCTGCCACTGTGGTATGTCCTTCCTGGCATCATGCCACAGTGGCTCCAGAAATGGGACTCCAGGGCTCTTCCTGGCTTGGGTCTTTACTAGCTGCATGACTTAAGAGACAATTTACTTAATCTTCCTGAATCTTTTTTTTTTTTTTTTGGTGCTGAGGACCGAACCCAGAGCCTTGCACATGCTAAGTGTTAGCTTTACCCTCAGTCCCTTGAAGGAATTCTGACTGGTGAAGTACTTACCACAGCACTTGGCACACAGTAGGAATCTTGCTGTTCTCTCAAAGCAACAATTGGATCAAATGCCACTTAAGACAACAGCCCCCAGAGAACGTGATTCCCTCAAGTTGTTTCCAGCAAAGGCAGCAGGTGTCTGAATGGAGTATAGTGGGAATGTCTGCTACACTTCTTAGTGCTGCAGAACCTTTGTGGACAGAGGCTGCTAGAGGGTACAAAGGGGTGCGGAAGGCTGGATGTCCTTGGGTCCTCTCGGCTGCCCTTCACCCAAGTCCTGGCTACACTTGCCCCTAGTGCTTGTAAAGTCTGAATTGAGTTTCACAAAACTATGTGTGGGGCTGGCTGGGTGTACAGTGACTTCAATTTGATGGAAATAGTCTCGGAGGGGTAGAGGGATCTGCAGTTTCCTCGCAGGGAGTTTCCTTGTGGTCTGACACCATAAGGAAAGCACTTGAATTCCACCTCTTGGGCCAGTTAGGCCTGGCTTTCCTGCTGTCCAACTCCTTCCTTTAGCACGTACACTGTAAAGTGGCTTCTCCAGACCTGAGAGCTATAATAGTCCCTTCTAGAGCTTCCCCCTGGTCCATCCCAGCGCATGGTCCAAATCCTGGTCCAGGTGACATTCTCTCGGCAGCATCCCAGAAAATGGGACTCCCGAGTCCCACCCATGTTCAACTGTGGGCCAAGCATTTTAGGTGTTTGAGGAGGCTCTAAGCTGACCTCCCGGTGTCTTCCTTCCACCCCCTTTTCTCGTCTATCTCTTTAGTGATAAGACTTCATATATAACATCTGCTCCCCTCTTGTCCACTCTTTCAGGTCTGTCCAGGTCGGCAGGACACTAGTCCAATCCGCCTTCAGTCCCCTGCTCTCCTAGGATCTCCTCAGCCTCTTGGCAGGGCTTCCACGACCTTTCTCTGGCTCTGTATTACAGAGCTGGGCCTCATAGGGTAGTAGAATTTAAGGCTCAGATGTCTTGGTTGTACTGCATACTTTGTGTCCATCTTTTTATTTTACTTTTTAATTTTTTGCCAGTACTGGGGCTTGAACTCTAAGGCCTGGGCACTGTCCCTGAGCTTCTTTTGCTCAGGCTAGTGCTCTACCACTTGAGTCACAGTGCCATTTCTGACTTTTTTTGAGTAGTTTTAGTGGAGATAAGAGTTTCACAGACTTTCCTGCCAGGCTGGCTTCAAGCAGTGGTCCTCAGATCTCAGTCTTCTGACTAGCTAGGATTATAGGTATGAGCCACCAGCACCCAGCTATCTCTCTTTTTATTAAAAAACAAACAACCAAACCAAACCAAAAAACCCTCACCCCCTCAAAACAAAAGCCAAATGTGGGGGGGCAAATGTCCTGTAATAGTTAGAGACCAATGTTGTAATTCAGCTTATTGCTATCTCCAAGACACCACAAGCCCCGCCCCCATCCCCAGCCCAACTCCTACCTCACAGCCCCAGGCCTGCCAGGCCATTCCCAGCACACAGAGGTCTTTTCTTCCTCACCACGGCTTCGCTGCCCTCCCTACCAGGGTTAAGGCGGTTGGTTCTTCAAGGCCCCATTGTGTCCTCCGGGTTTTTCCCTGTGAATCTGTGTATCCACTTGCTGGCCCTGGAAGTGGCCAATGTGAGAAGTGATAGCTAGCATGCCAGTCAAACCTAACAAGTACTTAGTAAATGCTGACAAGCAGCCACCTGCTGACCTGCCACCAGGAGGAACTAGACCCCTTCTGTCTAAGTGGTAAGAAGCATTCTCCAACAGACAGAGGCGAAGTCGACATAGCTGGAAAAAACCTGCTAGTGGCTGCTACATAAGAGAGAAACAGGGCATACTTCCTGGAGGTTCATCTGAGATGTAAGTCCACTGGGTACCATGGGAAGTTCTGAACTCAGTTTCCCACCATGTTATGTTACTCTGTATGAATCTGATGCATATATACACATCTCAACATTTATCTAGGAATTTCTAAAGCAAATTTATGGAGAAATCATATAAAAAGAGATTAAGCTTTGCAGATCTCATCCTTGGGGGTTTCTTATTTAAGGCAACTGCATTGAAATGGATTTTAAAGTACCCCATACCAACTGCTTTTTGCTTCCCCTTAAAAATCCACTAAAAACTGCAGGAAATTGTCTTGGAGGGGTAAATATTTTTCATTTAAAGTATGTTAAGATGAATGCAGAACTGTAGCTCAAATGGTAAAGTGCTAGCTTTGAGCAAAAGAAGCTCAGAGACAACGATAGTACCCAGGCCCTGAGTTCAAGTGCCAGAAGGGGAGGGGAGAGCACAAGGGGGGAGGGGCGTCAGAGGGGAGACAATGTAACCCTTAGCTATGACTGAGAGTCCAGCCACTTCTGTGTGGGGGAGGGGGTGAGTACTAGCAAGAGAGGCTGAGCTAACAACGAGGATGAAGGAGGCTGAATACAGTCCAATCAGACTATTTGCAACTATGAAAACAGAGCAGTAAAACCTGTTGAAAGTGTTTTGCAGAGGGGAAGAGGGGCAGGGAAAGTGGGAGGGGATGAAATTGATTGGAATACATTGTAAATTAGTGCAAATGTCACAATGAGCCCCCAACCCCCGCCCCATAGCTAACGTAGGCAACAAAACAAAAACCCCTGTGGCACATCAGCCTTAAAAAGAGATCTGATATTGGACACAAATGGATGAAGCTAGAGAATATTAAGCTGAGTGAGATTAGTGGGCACAGACAGACAAGAACTTCATGATGTCACTTAGCTGGAAATCAAAGAGCAGAATAGTGGTTTACCAGGGTGGACAGGAGAAATGGGGCAAGAAAAGTCACTGCAGTGTGGGATGATCTAATAATGTCCAACAGAGACAGTGGGAATGTGCTAGAAGAGAAGATTCTAGGTGTCCTTTCCACAAGAAAAGTAAACTATCTGACATTGGGCATGTTAATCTTCTTGACTATAGTAATCACTGTGTACATCAAAATACCCCTGTTGTACGCTTCAAATATATACAATCAAAATACAACCACAACTTATCCAAAAAGGGCTTGGTCCTACAGTCCCTTGGTCCTACCGTCATGGGAAGTGACCTCACAGGCTGCCTTCCTGCCTGGCTATGTCCACAACTGGCCTGATGGACAGTGATCACTCGGCATGCTGAAGAACACTTTCATCATTCCATTTCCAAAGAGGGTCAAGAATGGCCATGACAGGAGGAGGCACAGCAAACTCTAGTCCAGGCTTCGTATTAAATGAGCAACAGTCACAAGTCAGGCTCTTCGCAATTGCAAAATGAGGCTTTGACTGGATTTTGCCGACTGCACTTTTCCAGTTCGTATCAAGGATTTCATGAATGATGCTTCTATAACTAGCTTATGGAAGTTTTAAGAAATGAAGCAGCAGAATGAAGCTAACATTCTACTTGTTTATTTACAGTCATGTTTACAAAGTTGCATTTAAAAATACACCGTCTCACGGCTCATTCTGACTCGTACTCTGCCACGTGGCAGGTGGGCAGGCGCAGACACAGCTTCTCCTGCCCGTAGGGCCTCCCCTCAGCGCTTCTTCCAGGTGAACTTCCTGCGGGCCCCCTCCTGGCCTGGCTTCTTCCGTTCTCGGACGCGGGGATCAGCAGTGAGGAGTCCAGCTGCGGTAGGAAGAGAAACCTTCGTGAGTCATCCAAAATGCAGACTGCCTGGCAGATGAGTAGCTGAACTGCATGATTTTATGGCAAATGTTGTCAGAAAAAAACCGGAAAGAAAGCAACCAGACCCATAATGATTTAGCAATTCATATAAATCTCATGATGGCAGCTTGCTTTCATTCTTCAGGGATATTTTTTCCAATAGTTGAGACAAATACCAGTGATATTTGACTCTGCTTTCCTGTATGCTCTAAGAATTATGACTCCTTTCTGTTTTTTAACTCCTTTCATTTCTTGTTGTCCTTCAGATAAAGGTACAGTCACTGTTCACTGTGATAGGAGTGTCCTGCATACTTACATAGGTACTACACATTAACAGTGTACACAAATGTACACGCAAGCAAGCAAGACTCACCGTACACATTTGAAAAAAAGACACTTACTGCTTTAAAAAAAGATAAACAGATTCTAGCTTTCCTTGTTTATTTTTTTCTTTTCCAATACTAACACTTCCTTGGCTACGTGGCTTAGATGTTTCATTAGGAGTCTTTTAACGAACAGCAAAGGAAAACCATTTAGTACACACTCAAGTTTTTTTTTTTTTTGTCTACATGTACTTAAAGAGCAGACATTAATAGAACAATATTTTATACAAAAGACCCAAGTTCTGGTTTAAATTAACTGGCTGGGGTGCACATTTACAGTCCAAACACTTCGGAGATTGAGGCAGGTACAAACCATCTCAAACTAGTAGAATGGTTAAGAAGTCAGGGGCTATCAAATTATTTTAATGAGTAGATAAAAGAATCCTGTATAATGGCACACTATTTAGAAGCCAGTGGATTTTTAAGTAGCCTAAGTTACTGGGCAATGTTTATACTGTTCCCAGAGGCTGAGGCTACAGGGCAGGCAACAGGCAAACCAGAGAGCTGCAGACCGTAGCACTGAGTGGCTCTCCCTGGGCATGCAGGTGGTCAGTAGCTCACACAGCTTTAACCCTTTCATAGGCAGTGAGGACACTCATCGACTCCAACTGCTCTGATTCACTTAAGCTCTATGCTCATGCGTGAATCAATCACTACATGGAGACTCTCCTTCATGTCTATGTAACAGGGTTACACAGAAAAAATAAAATTCAAACTAAAATCATAGTAGAGAAGAAGGAAATTCTCCAGTCATTTTGGAAAGCAGTACCAGGAGTATTTATCACGTACCTAACAATGATTATATATTCCCATGACAAAAAAAAAACAAACCAATTTGCCTCAAATGGAACTGAGCAATGTACCAATTAAAGTTTATAAAAGCTGTGCCAAAGGCCAAAATACATTGTACCTGGCCTTGAGACTGCGTATTTTAGCAGGCTTCAAAAAAAAAAAATTAAGTTCACTTTGTGGAAATCAAACCTGAATAACGCTGGGAGGGCTCTGGGGGAGCCCAGCAGCTGTGATGTCAACGTGTTGATTCTTTCATGTTTATTCACTAACTTTGGAAAATTCAGAGGAACGCCTGGGAGGGAACATTGGGCCATCATGGATCTCCAGCCTGGACACATACCTTGCCTCATCCACTCCACCTCATCCTCAGTGACGAAGCTGCACAAAGCTTTGGCCATGGCCAAGCGGATGGCTCCTGCTTGGGCTGACCTCCCGCCACCGGAGACTGTGCAGGTCACATCATGTTTTCCGAGCCGGTCCAGGAAGTGGAAAGGGAACATTAACTGTTCTCTAAAGCACATCACAAACACATGGGATTAGGTCTCCTGTACAGATTCTCCACTTCACAAGCTGTGGATATTCTGTGGACATATATTTGTAACAACTGTGTGAGTCATGCCAATGTTACACTTTTCTTACTCTTAATCAATCTATTACACCAAGATACAGAAACGCTGACATTGCTAATGTCTAGACTGCACTGCTGGGTTGGAAGGCTTACATCTCTTTTTCTTGGCTGCAGCAACAAACCACACAGGAAATATAGCCATAGCCTCTGTTACTGTTTATCCTTTCCTCTTTCATGAGAACTTTGCTATGTGTGAAAATAACATCATAAAGAAATCTTAAAGTTGGGGAACTCTATTAATCAACTGAATCAACCCTCTCTGGATTGAAGGATCAGATATGAAATTAATAGGCCTTCTCAAGCAATTATCAAATGTCATTTTGATTTACTAAAGTATAATGTATTTGCATAATGCAGAAAATGTTTATTTATCCTGATATGGTTATCTTTTTTTTCTCCCCCAGTCCTGGGGCTTGAACTCAAGGCCTGAGCTTTGCCCTTAAGTTTTTTTGCTCAAGGCTAATGCTCTACCACTTGAGCCACAGCTCCACTTCTGCCTTTTTTGGTAGTTAGTCGAAGATAAGAGTCTCACAGGCTTTCCTGCCTAGGCTGGCTTCTAAACTTGATCTTCACCACCAACCCACCTGATAATGGTTACTTTTTAAAGTTACCAGAACTACGTTTAATTCCACTCCTCACATCAAAACTCCACATATTTCCTATTAAGGTTCTCTAAGTATGCAGCCAATCAGGCCTGCTCTCAAGACCTGTGAGCACTCATGGGATCCCAGGTGGGAACCATATAGGATCATGACCTTTGGATCTTCTCTGACTACTTGCTTACTCACATCAACAAGCATTTGCTAATTATCATTTATGTACTAGGTGTGATGTCCAGGACTTTTTAAATTTTTAATTTTAATTTTTATTTAATTTACAGTATTGGGGATTGAAGCCAAGGCCTGTCTATGCTAGGCAAGTGTGACACTACCATTTAGTTACATTCCCAGTTTAGGAAGGTCCATAAGAGAGAGAGAGAGAGAGAGAGAGAGAGAGAGAGAGAGAGAGAGAGAGAGAGAGAGAGAGAGAGAGAGTGTGTGTGTGTGTGTGTGTGTGTGTGTGTGTGTGTGTGTGTGTGTGTGTGTGTGTGTGTGTGTGTGTAGCATTTGTTTGCTTGGTTTGACACTGCAGCCTAGGCAAGTGTGACACTACCATTTAGTTACATTCCCAGTTTAGGAAGGTCCATAAGTGTGTGTGTGTGTGTGTGTGTGTGTGTGTGTGTGTGTGTGTGTGTGTGTGTGTGTGTGTGTGTGTGTGTGTGTGTGTGTGTGTGTGTGTGTGTGTGTGTGTGTGTGTGTGTGTGTGTGTGTAGCATTTGTTTGCTTGGTTTGACACTGCAGCTTTCTAGACCCCAAAAAAGCTTATTTTAACAGTTAACAGTTAAGCTCACAGATGAATACGAGAGGTCATTCAAGCACTATTCTTTGTATTACTCTAGCAAAATAATCTCTGGAGTGTTGGCAATAATCCGTTAAGGCCACAGTAGAACTAAGCAAAGCCTTTATTCATGAATGTCAGGTTTCTTTGTTGCTTCATATATATATACACACACATACACACACAAACATACACAAATTCCTCTAAATAGCAAAAAGTCTAAAAAGTAGTAGCCATATTAAGATTAACTGAAAAAAAAAATTAGAGGTTAGTGATCTAATTCCATTATTACATGGCAGAATCTATAAGTCTGTGATGTATAGATGCTAGGGAGGTTTCTGCATCACCCCAAAAAAGTGGGCTTGCATGAGAAGTTACAGAGAAGCTCTGGACAGCCAATTCTTTGGGAGCTTGAACATTCATTTATCTCTTAGTTCCTAAAGTTGTAAGATTCCTTAACAAAGCTTATATAACTAACTAGGTTAGTATTCAGAAAAAAGATTTCACCCAGAGATATACTATAACAAGAATGGTGACAGTAAGAAACCACCATAAGGAAGACTAGAGATGTGTCTCATGTGGCAGAGTGCTAGCCAAGGTGTGGAATCACCACAGAGGGTTTGCCCTCAAACCTTGACAGTTGCAGCTGGATACTCCAAAGGGTTAGCAACCGGAAATAATGTTTATACTGCTAATGCTTTTAACTATACTGGCCTGCAAACCAGCACATGCAAAAGTGGTTAAGTGACATGAAATTATTTCACCGCTCATTGTCTTTTCTTAGAGGACTCAGATGAATATGAGTTAAAAGAACCACATTTTATTTTGTCTTGGTGACATGAATCAGCATAATTTTAAAAATAAGTAAGCAAAATAAATGATTTTCTCTGAATGCCACTTCTCTGGCACAAATACATCCTCTCATTTTCTTGTAATTGCTCAAAATGCTAACCATGTTTCAACTACTACGTGGTTAGTGCTGTATGAGCAATGTATTTCTCTTGTAGGATAATCAACTAAGGGTTGCTGTACTGGTTGCCTGATAGAGCAAAAGGCCTTTCCAGAAAGATTATCAGCCTTTGTATCCCACAGGACCAAGAACATAGCAAAAATTTGTTGTAAATATGTATTTGTTGTAAATGCGAGTGAATGAATAAAAAACTTCTCATGATACTGGCAGGCAACATTGCCAATATTCCTTGTGAACAGTTATTGTCTATGTAAAATCATTCCCCCAAAAAGGACCCTGGAAGAAGTGAGCAGTTCACCTGACTAAGGGGCAAGCCTCTTAGAATCAAGTTCAGCTCCCTCCTCACAATCAGAGATGTGATGTGACTTTGAACCATCTTGGTTAAGGCAACTTAGCTAAGAAACAGAACTAGAATTAAGATCTATGATTTTTGGCTGTGTGGTCTTCTGATTAGCCAGTGGTTACTTCATTGCTGGCTTCATGAGTGCCCATGTACTCTACAAAGAAGAAAGCCAGCATGGTCTCCCTAAGACTATACAGTAAGGTAAAGGAGGATGTGTGCATCTATTTCCACCAAGAGTAGTGTTAAGTTTTCTCAAGCAAATGCTCCTTGACAAAATATGGGTATCTTTTCAAAGCCCAGAGTGAGTCTGGGCTCAATGATCCTTAGTAAAGGCTTGATGAGTTTAAGAATAAGCACCTTAAGGATATAACTGAATTTTGAGATGCAGCTGCAATAGAGACTTGTTGTGACATCATCAGGAGGTATATCTGCATAAAAAATAACAGAGAAGCTGGTGCTGGTGGCTCACACCTGTAATCCTAGCTACTCAGGAGGCTGAGATCTGAGGATCACAGTTCAAAGCCAGCCGGGGTAGGTAAATCTGTCTCCAATCTCTCGTCTCCAATTTACCATCCCCAAATCCTGAAGTAGCATTGTGGCTCAAAGTGGTAGAGTGCTAGCCTTGGGCAAAAAACAGCTCAGGGACAGCACCCAGGCCCTCATTTCAAGACCCATGGCTAGGGAAAAAAAAAAAAAAAAAGTAAGTAGAAGATAAGCCAAGGGATTCTCTGGCTTTTCCTAAGCTTCCTCCAATCCTTTGCCTGTGGGGATGAAGGCACAGTTAATTTAATTCATATTAAATAGTCAAGAGTGGGCCACTTCTTGATATAGTCATACACACAAACACAATAAGCATATATTTCTTGAGGTAATTATTCTGTCCTGAAGTTTATCCCATTTTAGAAGGGTCCTCGTTTCCTTACACAAGCATCAGGATCAGATAAACATCAGTCTTTTTGACCTTAAATACCACAACACATTCAGGAAACAGAAGAAGGATTAGGAAGGAGGAACTAATCATACAGAACTTGAGCTACTCATGGATAATGATAGTAACTACTGGAAAAATAATAATCGTCTCAAGAAGAGGCCTTTATATAGGCACTCAAAGATAGCTCTAAGATAACTACACTTAGGGATTAGAAGAATTGTAATATCTATTTTTGATGAATATCTATATCTCCACAGGATATAAAATTTAAAAAATATAACTCACACTTAGCACTGGTAACTAAGCAAAGATGATGAGCTTTTATTTTAATCTATGAATGTCACGTTTATTTGCCTATTCAGTACATGTACAATCAATTTCCTTTAAACAGGAAAAAGTCTAAAAAGGTACAGCATACTTTTTTTTAAAAAAAAACACTAATGATCAATGAAACAAATGTAAGCCATAGGAAATCTGTGGTTTTCCCTGACTGGAGCACCAAGGTTTGTTTCTAGGGCTGCTTGTTTATGCTGCTTGTTTCTAGGGCTGTTTGTTTATGCATACATACCCCAAAATCAGAAGGTATAAATCTGCTTTTCTTACCTTGTGGTATAGAGTTTCAGAATGTAAGAAACACCTAAGCATGGTCAAGCAACAACTTCCCTTTAGCTAGTTTGTTATATTCATGAAGGGAAACAATCCATCAGGCAAACAATTAGAAGTCCTTGTCTTCTTAATTGATTATGATGTATTATAATGCATACTTTCTTTAAAAACAGAAATCAAAATCAACATCGAACCTGTCCTGTGTGACTGGGAAGTAATGAAGATAATCGACTCCATTCACTTTTATTTTTCCACTTCCATGCTTGTAAACAGTGGCTTCTGCTTTTGCACTTTTTCTTTTTCCTTTAAAAATGCAAAATTCCTATTAACAAAAACCTTATAGACCAATGCTTTGAGGAAAGTAAAACTCTATTTAGGATATTTTTCCCAGAATAGTATATAATGCTGTATACAAGAGAGTTCTACTACTGAGGGACAGTGCCCAGGCCCAGAGTTCAAGCCCCACGACCGACCAAAAAAAATAAAAATTAAAATTAAAAAAAAAAAAGAGAGTTCTACTAGAACTACAAATCAAACAAAAATACAACAGTTAAGGCACACCACAATTGATGTTAATAAAGCATACTTTGGGGGTAATTCTGCTCTACAATTCCATTTTAGAATACTGAAATGATTTCAAATTAGTTTCAACAGCCAACAGTCATTCATATTCATTTACCTTATGAAAAACAACCAATTTGCATAATGTTCTTTTATATTCAATAAGAATATATCTCTCACTATAATTTAAAAAAAAATAAGTGAAGAGTATAATGAAATATAACGGACAGAAATGACAGAAATCCACAGGAAAAATCATATTTTTTTGAAAACAGTAGTTGAAAATGACAAAGGAATAAGGCAACATTTTTAAGGGTTGCAAACAGATTGGCCAATTCTTGAAATATGACCCACGCTAAAAGTTTCTGATCACATGTAAATACCATGTAAGTCAAGGAAGGGCCTCAGGTTTTTCTAGTACGTAGTTTTTGTATTTGACATGTGGATTTACCTAATACCTTTAGTTTTTTAGAACAAAGTTGTATTATAAATATTTTGTTGATTTTATCAGTTGAAAAAATTTAAGGAGGTGTCACTATGATTCATTTTTTTCTTGTGATAATGGTAAGTTCAGTTTTTAAAAACTTCAATAGATGCTTAAAGCTAAGAACTCCAATGTAGCTATAAGAGATACAAATGAAAGGGATTTGGGAGAGCAAGAGCAAATGACAGTAATTATAGTCTCTCCATCTTCACTAGACTTATTTTCTCTTCATGGAGTGCCATTACCTTCGCTCCTGCTGAAGGCCGTTCCCTGCTCGTCATACTGCACAGGTTCAATCAGCTGCTTTTTAGACTGCATCATTACATTTTTGCGGAACCTCTGAACAAATTCTTCTTCATCAGGACCACAGTGCAATGTCAATAACTTTTCTAGCAGCCGGATGAACTGCATATGCTGCAGACAATAAAAATTCATTAGAAGATGCAAGTGTAATTGCATTTGCTAAATTTTTTCTATTTTTATATACTTGATCTTTCCAATGTTGCTTTTCTTGATGAATTCTGACAGGATGACACTTCTGCATCTTCATGCTGCTTTTAAAACAGCGTGCAGATGCGTCTCTCTTCTGTGTATGCATAGTGCTAAATCTTTTCTTTCCAGAAACAAAGAGATTTATCATTCAAAGAAAAATCATTTTTTCTGTATTATGATTATGATATTGTGATCTAAATTCATTTTCAAAAAATATCTAGTGATCTTCAAGTGTAATTTTTACTCTTTTATTACAACTATATCAGAAGGAGCATGAGAAACTATTTCCAGTAAGTTATGTATAGTAAAATGGAAAGTCTGATTTTGAGAAAATGTACCTCTCAAATTATAGTTCATAATACATTTGGCAAATATATTTTTGGCTCTTCAAGCTGTGTTACTTTAATGTTTATGATTTCCTTTAAAACTGAACAATCAAGCTATTTAAAAATTCAAGAGATACTTGACTTAAAGGGCAACCTCTTGAAATAAATTATCCTTGCTACTCTGTGCATTTTTTTAAATAGTTCTTGAACATGTGATTAGAAAGTAAACAACTTGGTATTAACCCCTTAAAATTAGAAGCCAGAATAATCATTCTAAAGTGTTTATGGAGAAGGAAACAACTACTACTTGAGATCCTTAGTTAATATAGATTGTGAAACCTAGGTTTTCATAACCTCATTTATGGGTTTGCCAACCCTAAAAATTATACTTGAGTTTGCAACTACTTGTCTTTATAATGCAAATCTGATAATAATTTGGGGTATTTAGGAATCTCATTAATAAGATCAACATTAAAAGAGAATTGCCACAAATACACCTTTGTGTTATACAATAATAAAAGAGGTAGCAGTTAGGTGCCAGTAGCTCATGCCTGTAACTACCAAAGGTTAAAAAAAAGGAGGGGGCTAGAAGTGGAGGTGTGGCTCAAGTGGTAGAGCACCAGCCTTGAGTGAAAGAACTAAGGGACAGCACTCTAGCTCTGACTTGAAGCTCTACCAGTAGGAGGGTGGGAGGAAGAGAGGGAGAGGGAAAAAAAGAAAGAGAGAGAGGGAGAGAGGGGGAGAGACAAGGAGGGAGGGAGAGAATGGTGAAAGGAGAGAGAGAAAGAGAAAGAGGAAGTTTCTAAGTAAGAGTAAATGGCTATCTACCTGTAGTCCCCAGTATCCAGAGCCCTAGTCTTTCCTGTTACTGATGTCCTTTTTTCTCAATTCCAACCTAACACAATTCAGATAACTATTTTTAAACTTCCAAGGGTCATCACAAATATGACATAAACTGCTCATGAAATGAGCTTAAGGTGTAAGAAATCAAAGACCTTTACACCTCACTCAGCTCAACACTAGCCACAAACTGCAGGGTTTCTTCTGATCCCCAATACTCCCAAAGTATAGAAGGTTATCATATACAGTTCACTTTGTTTCACTGCCGCATGTCTCTATTGAAGTTTTTCTTTTTTTAGAATACTTCCAAAATGAAGGATAAAAACCCTCCGAATTTTGTAAAAGTCTAAGTGGCCAGAAACAGAAGAAACAATGATAGGATGCATCATTCACTGAAGAAATGAAGGGAATTTTCATTAGAGTCAGATGCAGCAATTCTTGGCAGTGAGGACAGCAGAAATGACCTCTAAGGAGAATGATGGAAGGAACAACACTGATCAAGATGCATTGTACTTATGTTGAACAAAACTACTTTGTACAACTACTACTACTACTACTACTACTACCCTCCCCCCACACACACACACAAAGAAAAAAGAAAAAATATTACTTCAGACCTACCACTAAACAAATGGGGCTCAATACTTTGCTTAGGCAAATTGCAACTTTTCTAAATCATTAATTTTCCAATATATAAAAGGAGAAAGAGAACAGTTGAAACATGTGACTTAAAATCTGTATAGGTGGAAAGGTACTAACAGTGTTGGTCACTGCCTCAGAGGAAAAATAAAATCTGTCTTGGATGATTTCTGAAATTTATGTCTGTTCAAACCTTCCAGGAGGAAGTCATTTAGAACACTTGAACATTCAAAACGTAAAACTTCCTCTGATAAAGCTGGGTGAATATTTAACAAAACAGTTGGTTAAGTAGGTAGATTCTTGGATGGCCCACTGGGGATTCTGTGCCAGGGCTGGGGCGAGGTTTGGGACCCTGTAGCTTGCAACCGGAATTCCCAGCTACTGTAACACAGATGGGACTGCAGATGCCTTGATGAAGACCACTGCTCTTCAGGAAAGTAGTCAGGTGCCGCTTCCTTTCTTGCTTTCCCTGGAATGGTGTTTGCACTCACCATTAGCAGAAGACATGAGGGCACTATAAAAGCAGGGTTGGAGACTGGAAAGCCATTGTCCTGACCACAGAAAAGGGCCTTCTTCCACAGCAGAACTCAACAAGGAATGTGATTTTTTTTTTTTAATGTCTTAGGAACACCTGCTTCTGAGGACCATTACTATTAGGACCCTTAATATAGCAATTGTCTGCCTTCTTACGGCACAGGTCCCCTAAATTAAAAAGATTAATTACTCACATCTTGATCTGACAGTTTCTCCACTAACATTTCTTCTAGTTCCTCCTTAATCAGCCATCTGCTGCCAATCAGGTCTCTGTTAAAATATCACATATATTCTCTTTGTAATTAACCGTGCAATTAGAATTGTATCACAAAAGATCCTACATATAATAGCAATTCATAATTGGAAGGCATATTTTTATGTTATATAGTAATGCTTTCATCTAAGCATAGTATTTCTGAGAAATATTATTCTACTTCTCTAATCTACTTTAGAAAAGACACCCATGTGAGCAAATGTTTTGTTTAAAGGGTAAATACACTATCATAGAACTCATTTAAAAAGCACTGGCTTCCTCTCCTTCTCTCCCCACCTTTTTTCTTTTTTTAAAATAGTTCTGGAGTTTGAAGTCCCTAGTCTTCCCGCTTGCTAGGAAGATGCTCTAGTACTGAGCCATGCCTCCAGGTCTTTTTGCACTAGTTATTTTTGAGATAGAATTTGCTTCCTGCCCGGACCCCTGGACCCCATATATACGCTTTCTGTCATAGCTGGGATGTCAGATGCACAACCCTCATGTTCAGCTTCTTCCATTAAGATGGACGCTGTGGCTTTTCTGCCCAGGCTGGTCTCAAACTATGATCCTCCTGATCTCAGTGTCCTAAGTAAAGGTTTGAGTTATGGGTGTCTACAAACTACCAGATTTCTTAAAGACTAACGAGTATGTTTGTATAATTCACTTTGAAAATGTGAAGAGCACAAAATTAACCTGCCAATGGACTACAGTAGTAATATCATCCACATAAAGGACCACTAACACATTTGCAAATTAAACAAGGTGTGTCCATAGATCTGACTCTTCACATGAGAGAACATATGTGGATAGATAGGCCACAATTTTACACTGGTTGCCTATGTTGGTAAGTCTTATTTATTACTGCCGAATGGAAGCACAAGCCTTAAAATTCCCAAAATAAATAAAACAAATATAAAACCTGTAGTGAGGGGGTGCATATCTGTAATCTTAGCACTCAGGAAACTGAGGTAAGAGGATCAGAAGTTTAAGGGCAGCCTGGCTACATAGTGATTTCCGGGTGAGCTTTGAGCTACACAGTGAAACCTTGTCCCCAAAACAAAACCAAGTAGTGTGCAAATGCTGAACCAATGTGCATAACAAATTCTGAGGACATTCAATCCTAATGTAGTCATTGATAGAGTTAGTCACAAAAACAACCTCAATATTTGCTTCCTCCTAAACAAAATTCAGTTCCTATTTGGAACCCTAATTTTAATGATTAATGTTGAAACACTGAACAAAGTTAAGGCTTTAGTATCCATTAAGCATCACATTTTAGTTCAAAGTATACATAGTTTTCATGCAAGACAAAAACTTACCTTGTTCTAGTTTTTTCTGGAAGTGGGCCTTTGCGGTTTTCTAACTGGACTACTTTTCCATATACCTCCTGCAGCAAATAAAATATACAGGTTAAAATAAGAGATTGTACATTTTTACTGAGGAAACTCCATATTTTTTCCTATGGGTTCTCCTCGTTTCAATGTTAGAGTAAATAAAATAAAAATGGTTTTTTAATAAAACTCTTTCTCACCAAATTAAAGGATGGTACAATAATTTCAGCACACTTAACTTTAGCTGACAAAAAATAAATATAAAAATTGTACAACTCCATGTTAGTGAGGATGGCTAAAACAACAAAAACTCTGGAAACTATTTCCTAAAATCATAATTTACATAGCAGTGTGCAATTTAAGCAGAGATAATTACACTTAAATTCATGGCTTTTATAGTGGAACCACTTCTCTAATATTTAATTTTATATAAATAATACCTAATTTTACAACTTGTCCCAAGAAGTAAAAAGCCTTGTTGACTGTGGTTAGCATGTGTTTAAACTAATCTGTGTATGGGAGGGGGGTTGCTAGTTCAAATCTGGGGTCTTGTGCCATTCAATATGCCTCTAGTTCTGAGCTACAATCCCCAGCCCCTAACAAAATGTTCTCTATGCTTCGGCTTCTAGAATGCAATTCCTGAATCCTCCCTCATTTGCAGCAAGTGGACAGACACATGCTAACTGCATGTTGGCAGAATGACCCCATGAGGGGGTTGCATCGGGGTGGGGGAGCAGGGTAAAGGGGGACACACACAGGGAAGTGAGCCCAGTACTGCCTGCTCCTCAGGCCTGAGATCTGGAGAGTGCCAAGATGGTATAAGCACAAATGAACTCATGAGAACACCAATGACAGCGATATTCTCCCTCCCCCTGCTGTTTGAAAGTGTTTAATTTTGTGGACTAGCCCACGTAACTAAAATAGCAATAATCAGCACTCTTCATAAGTAAGTTTCAAGTCAAAGTTCGGATTGTTAAACTGACAATCATTTTCCAGTGACTTTTGAGCAGTTTTTGCTTTAAGCCTGTATTTTTCTTGAACTATTTTCTTACAATGTCAATTCCTTTTAGTGTTCTGTTTACAGCCATAGTAATTTATATATAATGCGAGAGTAAAATAGAAAAATATAGAAGGAAACAACTCATGAAAAATATACATGGAATTTCACACATGGTGAATTCCATTCATTTAAGGCAAATGCTTGCTTATAACTGGTTGTAATCTGACAAACTAAAGTTCCTCAAGACACTTTATACATTCCTCATTTCTTGGAAAGAGGGATGTTTGGGATTAAACTCAGGGTCTTATGCATGCTGAGCACACTTCTACTACTGAGTCATATTGCCAGGTACATATAGTTCTTTAAATAAGAAAACATACATAAAGTGCTTGGCACACACAGGGCCTGACCTAATGTCAAGAATGCTAGCAGGGGTGATGCTGGGCTTTCAAGAATCAGGTAATCTATTTGTGAACCATTTCTATTTCTTCATCCTCTTCCCTATAATAAAACCACTCTTGAGAGTCTACCTTAGAGCTAACATTCTCTGAAAAGTCCATCTACAGCTTCACCTCCCTGAAGAGATGGCTCTAATTTACATTAAAAAAAAATCCACGGGGGTATAAAATATGCCAGGAACTGTCAACATCACAGATTCTCACTGGTAGCTGCTGGTATATTGTTAAATTTCCACTTAATTTTTAAGGAACACTAGAGAATTAGAATGACCCCAATCTACACGTAGTTTATGTACTGTATTTAATAGTGTAATTTTCAAATATGACAGGAATAACCCAGATGTGAAATGCTGAATCATTAATCACAGCTACGATTAATATTTCATAAAATCAAAGCAAGCCTATCCACCCCTCATGTCATCCGATTTCCATAATGTATGAGTCAAATTTAGAAGGTGCCTAATTTGAAAATACCAGATGCTCAGGTTACAGAAAAGAAATGTTAAAATCTTTTCCAAAGCATGAGCAGTATGATTTTTAGTATTCTTCTAAAATTTGTTTTGGTTCTATTAATCGTATAGAAATACCAATCTTTCCTGGGTAAACAAGAGGTAGGGGTGGTATAGGAAAAGTCAACTGTTTTTGGCATGCAAAGTAAATAGTAACAAACTAATGGCAATTATCACCTTAGATTCAACTTCAGGTACATAATTTGTTTTTGAGAAAGTAAAAAATCAGTTTCTTAAATAACAACCATCTCCATCTTTTGGACAGTGGGATAAACAAAATTACGTGAAATAAACACAGCTATATTTCAGAAGTTTCTGCTATGTACCTCAAGTTTCAAGTACCATAGTTCTATTATTTGTCCAGTGTTCCTTAAGTGAATGTTGTAGAGCTTACACATCTATGGTGTAATGCCATCTAATATAAAAAGAAGAGTCTCAGATACAGGCTGTATGAAAGCCCTCTGGGGAAGTCACAGCTAGCATGGCAACATCAAAGTGCCAGGAACTCAGATATTGTATATTTTTATTTCTTAGATTAAAATCACATAACAATCATACCGTTATAGAAAAAAGCAATCTGATTAAAATCAACATAGAGGCAATAAGGTGAATCTGTGCTTTCGAAAAGTAACCTTCCGAGTTGTTATCTTTGGAGCACGCAAAATATACAATGGTAGTTATTCGTATGTAAAGGAAATGTACATTAAAGATACCTCAAGAACAGCAATTTCTACTGCTGAATTAATTACTGAATTAACTCTGGCTGCCGAGAAGTCCTAAAACAGCATGCAGATATACCTCACCATCAGTCCATAGCTTTTAAAAAAATAAGCACTTTACACAGCTGTAAAACAGCTATTTTATAATAGCTCAGTGTGAGAAGGGTCACTAGTTAATTCTAGTTTTAAAGATAATAGCACTACATTTAAGAGTGTTAAATACTTGCTGCAAGGTCACAAAGAGAATCTAGAAACATCTCTAAGCCAAGCAAAACTTTCCCAATATTCCAGGGGAGGCCCTAGTTTCCTGAGCCTGCATCACCTCTGCACTGCGGCTCTCAGGCTTTAAGAACTCAGGATACTCACGTCATCTAAAACAAATTGGGCAACCTTTGAACAAGCCAGAAACTTCTTTCACAGCCACAGAGAGTGAGTTCTGTTTCTAAGTTAGGATGATTAGAAATACCTCTTTCGAATTTCAAACTGTTTTTCAATGTATCACAATAGTTTGTCTATGATGAACTATTTAGTCCTTCACTTTATATATTTGTTTAGTGTAATTTTCCTTTGGCCATGTCATTTCTTCGATTTACAGAAGTACTTTGAGATAGGGAGAATGATAAAGCCATGACATTGATCAAGATATAATGTACTTAAAACTGATTTGTGGAATTAAAACCCCTTTGTATATCTACTTAAATATAAATAAATAAAAATAAGATATATCCCATTAATTTTTTGTAAACTTATTCCTAAGATTCAAGTGAAGTTTCCATATAATGCTGAATGTCAAGTGCAGTTTTCAGAATTGCATGTCCATCTTTTTGTAAGAGATTGGGCAAGACAAACTTATGCAACATTTCTGAAATGCTTATTGTGTTGGAGCTACACCAGGCTGAAAACTGGGGAAACTTTATCACCTGTATTTTAAGAGAATATATTAGAGCAATTCTTACAAGCACAACATACAGTTTTCAGAATTTTGTGAAGACTTTTCCCAACGTGGGTTTGTTGGGACATTAAAAGGTGTTCTGGGCACAAAGGGTTCTGAGATGCATCTTCCTTGGAGCACCAGTGTGTTAAAGCAACAACTTTCCTTACAGCCTTCACAGAGTTTTTACATCCTGAGTTCTTCAGTCCATGATACAACATTTCTAACCTAATTTTACTTTATACCCCCTTAAAAATATTTCATAACCAGTGGTCCACAGAAAGCACTTTGGGAAAAGTTGCATTACAGACATGCCTTGGCTTAATAAATTATATCTGACAAAAGGGGTCCTACTTCTCAGTCACTAGTCACCTTCCATGAGCTTCATGTGATTTGTGCTATGCTTTGGGCCTCCAAAGGATCTGGCTTGGTAAACAGGTGGCACTTTTGAGAGGTAGTAGAGGTTTACGAGACAGAGCCTAGTGGGGGTCTTCTAAGTTATTCTGGTTGGGCCCTTGAAGGGGAGTGTAGGACACTGGTCTTTTTTTCACTTCCTCACCAAGACACAGGGAAGTTTTGTTCTATTATGTGTTATCCTTGCAATAGGCCTCAAAGCATCAGGGCTTACTGCCCATGGATTGAAACTTCCAAAGCTCTGAGCTGCTGGAGATGTGCCTCAGTAGTAGAGCACTTGTCTAGCAAGCACAAAGTCCATAGTCCAGAGCCAGTACCACCAAAAAAGGAAAAAGGAAACATGGTGTCAGACTGTATATTATCTCCCCAAAGCTGTGAGCCAAAATAAACCTTACTTTTTAAAGCAGATTATCTCAGATATTCTGTTACAGCAATGGGAAAGTGAACACAATTTTCAACTCATTTTTAGTGAATTTTATTTAATTTTTCAAGAACATATACTAGCAAAATTTGTAAACCTAAACTGTTATTTTTCTTAAAATTAACTGAGCTGCACAAGCTGAATGGTGTCAACCAAGGTTGCAAATGTCTCAGTCATGATTATAGATCACTATTCCCTTTACCACCTGCTGGTCACCCTAAATAGGCCCAAAGGCCTAGCACTTTGCCTCCCCTAAACTGTGCACACAGGGTTTCTCCCTAGCCTAAATCTAGGCTACTTAAAAAAAAAATTGGTTATTGGGCTACATAGCACAGTACAGCATTTTCCCTCCCATTCCTTTCTCTCTCTCTCTCTCTCTCTCTCTCTCTCTCTCTCTCCATCTCCTCCACTCTCCCTCTCTCTTTCTATTCCTCTCTTCCTTCTCTTGTTTTCTCTGAATGCTCAAAATCAAACCCAGGGGTCTCACATATACTAGGCCGACACTACACCATTGAGTCTAAGAAGCTTTTTTTTTTTTTGGCAGACATTTACTTCTTCCTTTTCTTTTATGCTTTCACTCAGTTGTCTCAAGAGGCCTCTTTTGTTTCTTTCTCTTTTTTTCCTTCTGTTTCCGAAACCTAAACTGAAGCCCTAAATCTTGTCTGAAGAGTATGCAAGTTCTACTGGTTAAATGACTCTTAAGGGAATGGGAAACTGCCTGTTTTGAGTAAAAACAAGCAAGGTCAACCTATGCTGCGAAGCATGGGTCTTCTCTGAAGAGCTTAGGAAGTCTCTTATTTCTTCAAATTACTTTCTACAGTTTAAGAAACCATGTCCATATTATTTTTAATACCTTTTCACTATATATGTATACTTTGTTTTATAAAATATTTGGGATATTACTTTCCCAGGACCCCAATGGACCACTATGTCTATAAGAAAATAGGTGTTCCAAAAGACCTGCAATGAATCTCTACAGTGTGATACAGTCGGTGTGAGACCCTCAAGGAACGGTGACATTTCCTTCACTTCACATTTCCTATCAGGCTTCACTGTTGGGGAAGAAACAATAAACTGCCTGTTTACTTCCTTTGTCATCTTTCCTCAAAAATCTCATTTTCCACAAAACTGATAGACAGTCTTCACTAAACATTATATACTATCCTTAACAGTCAACTGTAGCAGGACTTTTCTTAGTTGCTATAAAGTAGTATGTACACGCAATATGCACAGTCACTCAATACTACAAAGACCAGTTTATAATTACAGAAAATAAGGCAGGTTAACTGGCCTCAGACACAGTCTCCTCACACAGCTACACATGGGATGGGCTTGAAATCTGTTTCCTTGTCAAAAGCCCGGCCAGAGACTGCCATGTCTCATGCAATTATAGCTGGACAAAGAAGGGGATAAACAGTTTGGCTTAGTGCCTTTTCCCTTGTCACAGAGGAAAAAAAATTATAACAACAAATAGCAACAAAGATTCATTTTCAAGCCTTTCAAGCCTGTCAGTCTTCCTGTGCTCTGGGGAGGATAGCAAAGTGATCACTCAGGATAAGAAGAGAGAGGGGGCGTCCCTACCACCTCTGCCTCCCACTGAGAGAGGGAGAACAAAGGACAGAAAGCACCTGACCATCCAGCCTTCACAAGTGGATTTTATGTGCAGTGCTCCATTTGACTTTAGCCCAGTTAGTGCTGAGTTCAATTGAGAACGTGTAGGTGCTATTCCAAAGTTCCAGCACCAGAAGGTAGAGTTGTGTGCTTGGTGTGGCCACACTTGTAATTAATGACATCTGCCATAGTGATGCTGAAGTGACTGGCAAGCATTTAGGAACTCTGGAGTATGTAATAGCACCTACACTGCCCCCAAACAAAGAGTGATTATTAGTATGATATATAATGTGGCATTTTAGTTCCAGAGTAGGTTGAACTCTTACCTATTGAGAAGCCTAAGTTTCTAGAGAAAAGCCTTGTAAAACACATAAACTAAAATTGAACTAAAAATAAAGTTGGGGCTCTTCCACAATGTGTAATTTCTTCATTACGATGGAATGCAACACAGTATCTCCCCCTTGGGTTGCTCAGATTCAGCCAAAACAAATGCAAATGGCTTGTCAGATGACAGCTGTTTGATAAGGCTCCTCTGCAAGACCTGCATGCTTTACTTTTTTCCGTGAAACTTGGGATGAAAGGCAGAAGGCAGGAAGAGAATTAATGTAGCATACAGTCTAAAGGCAATGCTACAACCGTGATTAAGTAGAAAAGTTAAAAGGCACAGATTTTCCACAGCTTCGCTGCGTGCAACCCATCCGTGTAACAAGTTGACAGGCCTAGCGCGTCAGCTCCATCATCCCCTCCGACAGCTAAAACACTGCACCGCATCCCTTTTCAGAGAAAATTTGCGTCTGCACCATGAAGCGTTGTACATTATTTCTTAGCACTGCAGGGGGCTCAAGTCCATATGGAACCTTCACAAATATTACCACAGATCAAACCAGCAGCGTTTGGAGGCAGATTTGACATACCTATTTAAATGAACAGCAGGGGTCCTCGGGCAGCCTCGGGCTGTGCGGGAGAAAGCCTCAGTGGAAGCAAGAGTCGAAGCTCCATTACTCAGCAAAGACACACTCTACATTTATCATTCATTTCATTTCTGCCAGGGCAAGAAGCTCATTTGCCCAAGGTCAACAAAAAGCAAAAAGAAAGGTTTCTTTTTTTTTTTCCCCAAGAAATAAATGTACCTGACAAGTGGGGATTTTGTCCTCTGGGTTTGTGGAGCACAAATAAACAGCAGATAAGTCTAAAAAAATAGAGTAAATGGGCACATTGATTCAAGCCATTGAAAGCTGACCGTAGATGGGGGAAGCCCTATAAATATTCCTGTAACTTTAAAAACTCATATACCTACTAAAATAGAACTTGACATCGTGTTCTAAAAATAAAATGGATCCTGCCCTTTAAAATGGGATGCAGTGGCATTCAGCTCTTTTTCACGGTAATTTTGGAGAATTCTCCCAAATGTGCACACTATCAAACACAGCTCTTAAAACAAAACAAAAATTGTCCACAATAGACTAAAACGCAGTTGGAAGTCAAAGTGGAACAGAAACATTTTTCAGGTGTGGTTTGGACTCACACCGCATTAGCCCGTGAAAAGCAAAAACTTCATATGAATAAAAGACGCAAAGTACAGACAACTCTCAAGGTAAATTCAATGTCTTCTGGTCCTGCTAACAGGGTTTTCGGGGATCCCTCTTGCTTTAGCCTCCAAGCATACACATGCACTATAATTTCAATTTGCAAGTGAAAGTATTTTAAGGACAATTTCAGCACAAAGTCTGTAAGATTTATCTTTATCAAATAAAAAATAATATAAAACATTTCATTAACACTGCCTTACCTTGGAAATTTTATTTTCAGCCATTATTAAAACATTAAACTCTGAAGGGGGAAAACATTTGTAATATGATTAATTTTGTAGATACAATTCATATTTATCATAGATGTTATATACTTACATGCATTAATGAATAATATGATTGTTTGCCAGTATAGAAGAGAAAATGAAATGGGCGGCCATCTTCTCCCCATTGGATTGCTAATAAAAAGCCAGACAAAAAGAAATAAAAAGATATATAGGTAGGCCAACAGCAGTATTTAACTACAGTTATTGGACACTTTTATAATTGGCTTATCTTTTAAAATAAAAATGTACTAGTATTTAGAATTCATATTTAGTTTGCCATTTAATATGCAAATATTTAGGATATTTAATATTTCAGACTAGCTAGCATAAACATTCAATGAAATAGTCCACTATGAGAATGTCTTGTAAATTGTTTTAAAGTAAAAACACATAAAACACATCAAATTATCTATAAAGGACCACAAAGATTAATTATGGCCACAGAAACAATGTATCCCTGTGTTCCTCAAAAGGAAACTTGGTAGTCAATAATGCATTATACTCTAAAATTTCAAGCCACACATACTGTAACAAATTTTAAAAATAAGAACTTATTTTTCTATGCCACAGCATTTGTTTCAACCTGTGGCGACTTGCCTTTGAGTTTAAAACATCTGTGACAGAAGGGTCCTCAGAAAGGAGCTGCCTATAATTCCTTCTGAATACAGGGGGTCAGGTTGACCCACTGTAACAATGAGATGTACAAGACACTATGTTGAAAATGAACCTATATAAATAAGACAAGCACCATTTCCACACTCTCTGTCTACTGTTGATCTGTTTCACAAGTAACTATTTGCAGTGACTCCTGTAAAGACCACACTTCCAGGTCCATACATGAATTGTAAATTACTTTTGCTATATAATATATAAAATATAATATGTAAATATTTAGTATTATATAATATGTAATATATTATGTTACATAATACATGATATATTGTATATATATATATATATATATATATATCACATATATACCATAGTTAAATCTGTTTCTTTTTCTTTATAGCTGTATTTCCCATCTTCTTGTTCATTATTGATCTCATCACAGAGCTTCTTTGGACAGTTTTGCAGACTGCCCTATTGTCATGTCAGTTGATTACTGTACACATATTAAGTGTGGTATATATGCTGTGGGCCTTTAGAGGGCCACAACCAGTGTGCATGAAAACCACTGTTTCTACACCCTTGTGAGCAGTCTTTGTACCGATGGAGTGTGTATGCTTAAAGGTGTTAGGCTCTCCAGAACAATTTTCTTATCTTTTATTCTGAAATTTAGATATTTATCTGGAATTTATGTGTGTAAGGTCATGGATTATTTTAGCCAGCAGAAAAGAGCCTTCTTCTTCTTCTTTTTTTTTTTTTTTTTAAGTAAGCACTTTCCTGCTGTGATATTTTCTAAATCATATGCAAGATACTTTTTTCTCTGGGGATAATTAGTATTAGGCAGACCCAAGCTACTTTATGTGAATATACCTAACAGAGAACCAAAATATCCTAATGAATAGTGAAAAATAAGAACTATTGGACATTTGGATTGAAAGATAAAATTATTTGCCCATGGCTTAAAGATGCTCTAATCATTTTAAACACCATGTTTAAACAGTTTTTTTTTTTTTTAAATTAAATTCATTGGATTTTCCAGTAGCTGTTATGGTAGAGCCCTTAGTTCAAATCTCCCCAAAATAAAGATATCCCATCTTGTATATAACACACATGCACACATATGCACACAAAACCATAGCAGATATCAGAACTGACATTACTGATAAGTGTATCTTGTTAGCAAAGACACTAAAATTTGAAAAACTTGTCTTAGAAATCACAAAATCTGACATGCACTCCTGCTGGAGGTTAATATTCTACTCTGTTCCACTGTTCTGTTTATTCTGTATCACAAGCACCATTGTACCCATCAGAACTTTCTGCTTCATTTTGACATTGGATAGAGCAAACTCCCTACCTTATTCTTTTTAAGAATTTCCTAGGGTTTCTTGAAACTTAACTTGTAAAATGATATTGATAATTTATAATTTTGAAAGAACTTTTGGAATATTGTCTTCCATTACAGAAATATGCAATATGTCTTCCAAATATTCAGATTTTTCACTTCTGGTCTTCAGTTTTTGTTTTCTATACAAATCTCTTATTCTGTACTCTTTATTGGTATTGCAAATGATTTAGTTACTTTGTTGCTCTTGATACTGCCTCTTCCCATTTATGAACAGATTTAAAAAAGACAGTATTAATTATACAAGTATGTACTGTTGCTATGAGGATTACATGTTGACATTGCTTGGTTAGAGGAAAGGTGGGATTTCTAGCTCTTTCTAGCTCTTACAGGGCTACCTCGAGGAAACAGTACTGTCTGCTCTTCTTAGAAACAAACCTAAGTAGTAATACATGACACACATATGACAAGACGTGTTGCATGTTCCTATAATAGAAGACAATATTCCAGAGCTTCTTTCAAAATTATAAACTATCAATGTCATTTTATAAGTTAAGTTTCAAGAAACCATGGGAAATTCTTAAAAAGAATCAGGTAGGGAGTTTGCTCTGTAGTGTTTTTAGCTGCCTTTCTATCCCAGTCCAACCTGGGCTGATATACGCCATCTACTCCATTCCTTTCACCATTTGTCCATAATGCCTAGTATGGCTCTCACAGTTTATTTAGAAACTCTATGATAACTATTTGAACTGTTTCTAATTTTTCTTGACATATATTAAAATTTTCTTATCTTCTGGCCAAGAAACAGCCTCTTTGTTATTATTATTGTAAAGGAATTATTTCGGGTCTGACATTTTCAAATGTTTAATGGCTTTTTTTTTTCTTTTACATATTGCTTTCCTTTAGTCCATTTTCCTATTCAGGCTTTTCTGTTGTTAATATATGTAAAAAATATTTACTTTAGGTTTCAAGCCTTTGTCACATTTAATTTTTTTTTTTTTGGTCATGGGGGGTCTACTCTGGGCCTGGGCGCTGTCCCTCAGCTCTTCAACTCAAGGATAGCGCTCTACCCCTTGAGCCACAGTGCCACGTCTGGCTTTTTCTGCTTATGTAGTGCTGAGAAATTGAACCCAGGGCCTCATGCATGCAAGGCAAGCATTCTACCACTGAGCTACCTTCCCAGCCCCAAATTTTTCTAATGTCTTTTTGTCAAAGCTTTTACCTTCGCAGTAGTTTGTCATCTTTGTCTTTGCTTTTTTTTTTTTTTGTGGTTTAATATCATTTAAAAAATAATGAGGGCTGTATATCTATCTATTCCTGTATACTAGCCACTTTACTTCTGTTCTGGAGTTTAAATTTCTTAATTGCATATCATACAGTGACTTTGTAAAGTTTAACCCAACTCTATCATTTGGACACAATCTACTTTGTAATATTCCTTTAAACAGATTAAAAGGGACACATGCACATACATCTGGCACATGTAAATATATATATATATACACACACACACACATACAGCTTGGATTCCGTGTTTTTCAAAGTGGTTCTGCAAAATACATAAAGAATGAGAAAGACAGCAATTTATTTTCTGTCAGTATCACAGTTCTGTTGCCTGTATCATCATTACACTCCAGTGTATGGCCATTTCATCATGTGTGGTGGACACTGATGTCACTGACAGGCAGGATGCGAATTGGCTTCCACATAGTCAGCAGTTCAGCCTTTAACTACCTGTGGTACCTTTCTATGAAAAGGATCATTAAAAAGTTTCAGAACAACTGATGTTGTGTTTTGGAATTCAGATATCCAAGTAATAATATTCTACTGACAATTTCATAATAGTCTTTATGATTTTTCACAGTTTATTGTTTCCAATTTCTTTTTTTTTTCTTTCTACAGTGCTAGGGACAGGATGTACGGCCTTGTATATGCTATATGCATATACACTATACTAAGCTACAACCTCAGCTATTTGGCTGAGACATGGTCTTTCTACGAAGCCAGGATGGCCTTAACTTGCATTCCTCCTGCCTCTGCCTGTCAAATGTGGGGGAGTAGCAAGCAAACAAGCAAGCAACACTTGATACTGTATCAGAGGACTCTTCCTAATTTCTTTAAGGTTCTTCTTGGTGTTTCTTTGTTTAGTCTACACTGCTTTTTCCTACTTTCTACTTTTTGGTGGAGTGAAAGATCTAGGGATTGAACCAAGACTCGTACTTCTAGGCAGGAAGAAACTACTCCTAGAACTCTATTTTTGGTCCCATAATTTTTTTTAAGTTACACTGGGTAAGATTTCTAAAACAATACTGAATGATGAGGTACATGTGGACATAACCTTTGTTGTTCCTGAATGTAACAATTAAAAAATGACGAATTTAAGTTTCAATTCATTTCTGTTTCTCATGATAGCCTTCCTCAAATTAATGAAGGTTCTCACTTCTAGTTTGTTTTTTTAACAAAACAATCCAAATAAAACCAAACAACAACAAAAAATGCTCAACTTTGTTAACTGATTTTGTTTTCTCTCTGGAAATACTCTCCCTTTGACTCACAGAGAAAATTACATTGATATTAACTTCCTAATGTCAAACCATTCTTATGTTCCCAGGGAAAAATGCTCTCTAGTATATTTTCTTAATAAAATGCTTTATTTGGTTAGCATTTGATATAGGCTTCTTTTCCAAACAATTCTTCTCTGGACTTGATAATTATGTGAGCCTTAAAGTAAATTTAGAAGCCGTTACTTGTTTTCATCTGCATCTCGGAACTGGCAGGACTTAGGTGCAGGTCTCTTTCATAGACCTCTGATCTTGGGCTTCTCTGGCTTTTCGTCCAATCTGCATTTTCCTAAGTAAGACAATTGTGACAACTGCATTATTCTCTAAGCCACCTGTGTAAGAGTTCATGGAGTTGGTGGCCACACAGACATGTTCTGAGGTAGAGCCCTTTGGCCTTTCTACATGCCCTTCCTGGCTTTGTGTCCTTAGTGAGTTAAACTCTGCTTTTCATTTCCCATCTATAAAGTAGAGGAAAGAATAGTAAGTAGGTGATTAGTGTGAAGGTTTTGGGTTAGCATATGTGAATCACTTTGAAGTATGCCTATTCTTTTCCACATTCCAAAAAACACTAGCTGTTATTACATGAGAGGGTTCTCAAATTAGCTACAATAAAGTTACTCCTAACTATCTTATATTTTAAATATTCTCTAAATATTATGTTAAATTTTTATTGTTGGGCTGGGACTAAATCTCAGAAACAGAGCATTTGTCTAGCATAGAGGAGGCCCTGAAATTACCAAAATAAAATAAAACTTAATGTTGTTCTGTTTCTCCTTTAGCAAATCTGCCCCATGTTCACTGATTTCATTGGCTTTTTTCAAAGGAATACTTGGATTAATTACCACACTCATTCTTCAAATTTGTTCATTATGTACATCAATTTAGTTTTCCCTGAACTGAACACTTCTGAAAACTGTGCTTAGTTCACTTATTGTCAGTCTCTTAATTTCTAATAATGTATGTTTGTCTATGCAGCATACAGTGGCCATACCTCATTGGATTTGACAGGAACTATTCCCACTGTCATGGGCTTCTAAATACTCTATAAACTCGATTTTTATTTTGCCTTTAATACAACATGGCTTCTATTGATTTTAAGTGAGAAAAATCAGATAGGATTTCTACTGTTTGGGTTTTGTTAAGATTTTTTATGACCTATTTCATCATAATTCTATTAACATTCCACATGCATTTCCATAGAAATGTATTCTTTGTATTTGTATATGTAGCTATAAAATCATGCTGTGTTATTCAAATTCTTTATAGCCTTAGTTAACGGCTTTGCTTTATAACATTTCAATAGTAAATGTTTGGTGCAAAAAGGTTCATGGTCATCACATTCACTTAATGGATACTAAATGTTTGGTGCAAAAAGGTTCATGGTCATCACATTCACTTAATGGATCCTAGGTTTTATCCATATAAATTAGCATTCCTGTCTCATTGAGCGGTTCCCCATCCTCTTTGAATTCCATGATGTCTCACATTAGAGCTCCTTCTTGTTTCTGTCATTAATCTGGTGTATAGCTTCATTTTTCCCAGTACTTTCTTTTTCTTCTGCCAGTTGCAGAGCAGGGTTTTCATGTTAACTCAATTTAGATGCTTCCATCTTTCAATAAAGTGGTTAAACCTTACAAGTATCACGGTCCATTTATTGAACCTAAAGTTCAGTTACTATTTCAACTTACAAAGATCTGTTTGTCCTCCATTTACAATGTACAGTAAAATTGGAAGGTATACAGCCAAACTTATTTGAATAATTCTATAGGAGTATTGCTTAATTTAAAAAATAATATATTTTCAAAATGGCACGTGAACAGTGTGGGAGGATAGACAAACCCCGTCAGTTGTTATATTCTAGCTGCTTGTAAATAGGTAAATCTCATACTGTAAAACTAGTCTCAGAAGGGCAACTGAGTCACAACTAGTAGAAATACATAGAACAAAAGATGAGAGGGATAAGGGTAAAGGTGCTGAAAAGTTGGAAAAAAAGTTTTTAAAAAAAAGTTGAAAGAAGTTTTTCAACTTTTCAGCACCAGTAAAAAAGACTGAAAGCACTGCCATTTACATTTATAGGAATGCCACTAGGAGCAGATTATTGAGACTTGTGTTTATTACAATTATGCTCTAAAACTAGCCAAAGTGGATTTTGGGGTATTGCCTTTATTTATTTCCCCAATAAGTTGATGTGATGTATTTTGTAATTATCATGTCTAAGAATGAAGGAAATAAGAAAGACTGAGGAAACAGGAAAGACATGAACAGGTTAGACAAAGTGTTTAAGATTCAACATAAAAGTTCTTCCTTCCTTCCTTTTTGCTGGCCATGGAACTTGAACTCAGGGCTAGGTGCTGCTCCTTAGCTTTTTTGCTCAAGGGTAGCACTCTATACTTTGAGCCACAGCTCCACTTCTGGTTTTCTGGTGGTTAATTAGAGTTAAGAGTCTCACCGATTTTCTTGCCCAGGCTGGCTTTGAACCATGATCTTCAGATCTCAGCCTCTTGAGCAGTTAGGATTACAGGCATGAGCCACCAACATCTGTCTCATAAAAGTTGTTTCTAAGGTTAGAGTAAAGCTGTAGAACACTCAGTTCTGAACAGAACTACAGCTGAGCAGAAATACTCACACAAAACAAAATTTCTATGGATGTACCTATACTCTTTCCAATCTCTCTGAAGCATTCTGAGCACTCAGTCTGTTCAGACACTCTATCTATGCTGCCCAGCTACACATTACTAACTCAGTTGTATTTAACCCTAAGTGGGAGTATTATGGTTTCATGTTTTCTTTAAGTACAGGACACATGAATTATGTACCATCTAAACAGATGAAATACAAGCTCAAGCAGAAAAGGTAGTTGCTGCATCTAAGAAAATGAAGTTGAGTGTTCTAGAAAGATTCTGTGGCAAGTTCTTTAAAAAAAAAAAAGAAAGAAAGAAAGAAAAAGAAAAAGAGTTGTGTTCATTTCAGTGTGGTTGAAGGAAAAACACTGATGGAAATATAGAAATTCTTTGTACTCAGATTTCTTAGTAAGTTCTGTTATACTCTTTGTTCTACCCTAAGGAAATCGAAAATAAGAAATGCTGACCCATCAGTATCATGGTCATATGAAACAACAAACACAAACTTAAAAATCCCTCCAGGGACATATCACAGCTGATGAACTCATCTAAGTTTACATTTATTTTACAATGAATACAATTTTTACCCCTGGTGCTGGGGTTTGAACTCAGGCTCTTGTGCTTGCTTGATTGGCACTCTACCACATGAGGCATGACTCCAGCTCAGCTTTTTGCTGATTGTTTTGGAGGAAGTCTTTGCATTTTTCTGCCTACCTGTCTTCATACTATAATTCCTTGTATCTCAGCCTCTTGAGTAGCTGAGATTACAGGTATGAGTCAATTGGGCCCAGCTCCTAAATTAAGTGACAACTACCACTGGTCTGTAAAAGGCTTCTAATGCATTAGAACATTTAGTATTAAATTCTCTAGCAATTTTAAAGCTTGTGGGTTAAAAAGAAAAATAAAATTCTTTGTAAAAGTCGGAGAAAACAGATGGCATGGTAGGAAAGACGGTTAGCTGCTCATCAAAAGTAACATACAGGGCTGGGAAGGTGGCTCAGTGGTAGAGCACTTGCCTTGCATGCATGAAGCCCTGGGTTTGATTCCTCAGCACCATATAAGCAGAAGAAAAAGCCGGAAGTAGTGATATGGCTCAAGTGGTAGAGTGTTAGCCTTGAGCTAAGAGCTCAGGGACAGCGCCCAGGTCCAGAGATCAAGCCCCATGACTGACAAAAAAAAAAAAGTAACATACGACAATGGAATTATATCACTAAAGGGCTGAAAGGACAAAGAAAGAAATCTGTATTCAGACAAATATGACTCTAAAATGAAGAATTAAAATGTAAATAAAAGTTGAAAGAGTTGACAACAGATCTATACTAAATTCTCCCTCACAGAGGCACAGAATGCAAGTAACTTCTGTGACATTAGCACAGGCATAAGCTCTAACCCTACCTAACATGAATATCCTTTAATAATGAAGAACATCTTATAAACTCTAGTTGTTTGTTATTAGTTACAAAACGTTTTTGACAATTAGGACCAAGATGGCAACCATACAATATGTGAGCAACTGCTGATATAACCCAATACTGTAATAGAGGAGGGGAAAGTTTATTCTTTAGCAAACTTACCTCTTTGTTTTGGAAAAATCTGTTCAGGATGCTGTAAAATAAATTTAAAGTGTTATTAGATAATGGCTGTAACATATAAAACTAAATGAAAAAAAATTTTTTTAAAGTAATTAAGGTAACTACCTTCATTATTGGCCTGGCTCGTTTCTCAAACAAACCACTTGGAAGAAGGTAAGTAATAGCTTTCTGTAAATAACAGACAAAGGTTAATTAACAACTATATCAAATAAACTCATTTATAACTATTATTGAATACTTATTGTAGACCAGACACTGAACTAGTGAACTAGTGTTCCATTTTCACAGTCTCAGTTCATTATCTTTTGGGGGAGGGCATTACTGGCATTTGAACCAGGGTCTTGTGAGTATGAGGCCATTAACTCTACCATCCAGCCATGCCTAAGCACTTTATAAATAGCATGATAAAATCACTACATGCATACTCTCCCCTCCCCCCCAAACCCCACGTTAACTTCTAAATTGGTATTGACAATTTTCAAGTGTCAGCTTCAAAGGTGTCACTCCTTCAATGTGATACACGAATAATCTGTTTGCAAATAAAAGTGAAAAGCACTCCTATGCAAACATCTATGGTAAAATACTCAAGGCAATCATTCAACTTTGCCAAGGGCAAAGACAAAATCTTGGAAAGAACAGGCTCTGAATCTAATTTACTATGTTGGTCAGTTTTTTCATTATTGGTACAAATATCTTAGTTTAAAGGAGAAAGGATTTATGTGGGCTCAGGGTTCCAGAGCAGATGTATTCACTGGGGCCTGAGCTGAGGCAGAACACTGTGCAGCAGGAGGGGGTGGCAGGGGATGCTTATGTCATGGTATCCAGGAAGCAAAGAAAGACAAAAGGGGACCAAAGAGAAGGTGCCCTTCAAGGGCAAGTTCCCATCAACCTACTTCCTATAGCTAGGCCCTACCTCCTAAAGGTCCCAGTCCCTCCCAAAATAGGCTCACTAGCTGGGGATCAAACTTTCAACACTTAAGCCTAGAGGGGACATTTCATATTCAAATCATTACATCTATCATGACACTCATAATGTTTTTAGATGATCTTTCCTACCACTGTCTACAACCCTAATCCTTCCAGGTGTGTGTGTGTGTGTGTGTGTAAATACAGTTTACCACTGTCTACAACCCTAATCCTTCCAGGGGTGTGTGTATGTGTGTGTGTAAATACAGTTTACCTCTATCATGACACTCCTAATGTTTTTAGATGATCTTTCCTACCACTGTCTACAACCCTAATCCTTCCAGGTGTGTGTGTGTGTGTGTGTGTGTGTGTGTGTGTGTGTGTGTGTGTGTGTGTGTGTGTGTGTGTGTGTGTGTGTGTGTGTACATGCTGGTCATTTTGGGGTTTGAACTCAGGGCTTGGATGCTGTGTGTGTGTGTGTGTGTGTGTGTGTGTGTGTGTGTGTGTGTGTGTGTGTGTGTGTGTACATGCTGGTCATTTTGGGGTTTGAACTCAGGGCTTGGATGCTGTCCCTGAGCTTTCTTTTCCTCAAGGATAGCACTCAACCACTTGGGCCACAGTTCCAATTCCAGCTTTTTGGTGGTTAGCTGGGAGTCTCATGGACTTTGCTACCCAGGTTGGCTTTAATCCATGATCTTCAGATCCCACCTTCCTGACTAGCTAAGATTATTGGTGAGAGCCACTGATGCCTGCCCAGTGCTTGCTGAGTTGTTAAACGATGTATACTCTTTCAAGTTTCTTAGTAGTGAGCTTCATACCTTCTTGGGTGTGACTGCTGTTGTTACAGACCATCTTTATGCCCTTTCCCCCAGTAGCACAGGGGAGAGGATCTGAACATCCCTGGCCCTTTCACAATCTATACTAGGGCTTATGATCAAATTTTACCCTACACATTTCCAAATGCTTCTACCTCCTAGAAAAAAACTATTGCTCCCAAGTTAGGAACACCTTTTAAAACTTTACAGGTCAGACTTCTCCTTTTAAGACAATAACATAATGAATGACACAAGTTTTTTGTTGAGCAGTGTCAGATGAAAGGTCTGTAGCCTGGGATTTTAGCATCCTGTCTGAATGCTGAATGAACAGGCAGTATACTGGAAGACAGTGCTGCTTTTCAGAGAGCATGGGCTTCCTCTGCCTACCATATAATCAGGGGTATAAATTCAACTATCAGGGAGCCTGGCTGTGGTTCTGGGCCAAGTTTCATTCTCTTATTCTGCCTCTATTAATTTAAACAACAACACCAGAACAAACACTAGAATGCTAATTTAATAAATCAAAGCCAAAATATCAAAACAAATCCAAAATATAAAAGACAAATCCTCTCTTCCTTTCTTCCCTACAGGATAAAAAAGAATCTTTTATTAGGTGATTCTGAGGCAACTGATTGCCAGAGAAAATACAAGTGTATACAAACCTCATACCACATAACTCTAAATGAGTTAGAGTTTAAACATACAAAACAAAACCAGACCTGCACTTAACATGCAGGACTACAGAGAGAGTGCAGAAGGAATTTAAAGAGATACATTGAATTCCGTTTAAAAAAAGACAATGTAGCTCAAATGTATTCACAAAGAAAGTGCAATCAAAACTACTGAGGTAGACTTTTCATCTAATAGAAGAACTAAAAGTTCAATCAATTGGCCACACAATGTTGGCAAGGCTCAAAGTCACCTTGGGAGCATCACACAGCAAAGCCCCTGCAGCGGAACTACACCCACAGTTATCCACAGACTCACTCAGGAGACAGTCCTACAACACACACACAAAACAATCTAGCACAGGACAGTCACCAGAGTAGTAAAATAGCATTAGAAATAACTAAAATCCTTACACATAGAGGTTGTCTGAACAAATTATGGCATATCTGTGCAGTCAAATTCTAGACAGTCCTAAAACAGATGTTGCTGTTTCCTATGCTGGAAATAGACAAACACAAATTGTATATAGTTATAGAGAAGAAAGATGCACAGGTATATTTTAGCAAACATATACACAAGAAGAATAAAACAGACAAATAAACATTACAACTTACAGGGTAGGTGGAGCAAGCTGAAAATGACATAGAGATGAAGAATCCTCTGGATATACTGTACCTCTGTCTACAGTCCAACTCTGAAGCATATAAATATTTTATATAATAAAGAATGAAACTTGCCAAAGAAACGCAAAATCTAAATAGAAGTAAATCTAATTTCTGATAACAAAATATAATTGCAAATACATCAACTTTACTTTGTAGACTTAATGTCAGTCATCTTCATATAATTCTGAAATACTTTATGTATATTATAGTCTGGAGCAAATAAGTAGACATAGTAATGTGAGGAAGGGCACCAAACTTTTACTGTAGAACACAGAAACAAATAAGAAAGGGTAAACTTTGAAATATTAAGTATTTAGACAAAGCATTATAAAGTCAATCTTTAAAATTAATCCTATAATATTTATGAAGTATATTTCTTATTTCTGTCTCCTTGAAAGATCACGGAGCTCCCAAATCTTAGTTTGCAAACACATTTCTCAGTGTAAGGAATGAATGCAAAAATACCTAGTTCTAAGCCAGTTTTATTAGTTTGGAAGGCAGAGAATGTATAAAATGAGCCTGAGACATCTACCTATGAAAACAGGAAGCATACCCAAGGACACAGGAGTCAATTTTAATGTGCTCCTCCCACTGCCAAGTGTGTGTGCCAAAGGTGGGCAATTTGAGCATCTAAAAGAACAATAGCAATGCCTTCCAACACACTCAGTAATTGGGTATACATAGATTTAAGCTGCACACATGTGAGCAAATGTGGGCAGGTACAAACTCTCTTTCCCTCTTCTTTCCTTCTTTCTCATTCTCTTCCCCCTGCCTTCATCTCTCTATGACAGTGTGGGGCAGGGAGAAAAAGTAAGCTTCTTTATGGAACAATACCAGTAATAAAAGTAGAAAGAATGGCAGAAGAAAACCTTTACAAGTTACAAGTGAGTCATCATCAGGCAACAGTGCTAAAAGATGCTAAAGCCACAGGCTGAAAGATTCTCAGGAAATGAAAAATTTACATGGACTCAAAATATTATCCTACAGATTACTTAATGGCACAAGGGGGAAAGGTACTTATACAACATGTTCAGTGGTCAAATCAAACAAAGCATCAGTCATCTCATCACCAACATCAGTGGGATGAGCAGACTATGCGCCTCTTGGAATGGTGTTATAAGGAGCACCCAGTGGAACCTAAGTAGTGGGCTTTTGTTTTTTGTGTTTTTGTTTTTTGTTTTTTTTTGTTGGTCGTGGGGCCTGAACTCTGGGCCTGGGCGCTGTCCCTCAGCTCTTCAGCTCGCGCTCTACCACTTGAGCCACAGCGCCACTTCCGGCTTTTTTCTTTTTGCTTATGTGGTGCTGAGGAATTGAACCCAGGGCCTCATGCATGCAAGGCAAGCGCTCTACCACTGAGTCACCTTCCCAGCCCTGTAGTGGTTTTTTTTTTTTATACATTCCAAATCTCTTCTTGAGGAGTAATGGGCAAGCCAGAATGGCCTAGATTCCTTAAAATAACTGAATGGCTATATACATATTTTGGGAATAAACTGGGAAAATTTAAATACTGACTACATATACACTAATGTATATGTGTACATACCTGTATATATATTACATATATAAATAACTAAAATAACTAAGTAATATTACATATATGTTCACATACACGAATGACACTATAGATAGAATTATTATATATTTTGGTGCTAAATATATATCGATCTCTATTAATTTTCTTTTTTTTTTCTTTTATTGTGAAAATACCATACAGAGGGGTTACAATTACATGGGCAAGATAATGAGTACATTTCTTATCAAGCATTGTTGCCACCTCTTTTTCCCCTTCCCATCCGCTCCCCCCCTCCCCCCGCCCCCCGGCCAAAGTTGGAAAGTTTGTTTTCGACATAACGTCTTGCACGATACCTTTAATTTTCAATTGATCAGTCTATATACAGACAGACAAAGAAAATGTGGCAAAATATTAACAACTTGCAAATCTATGTGATAGGTGCGTATTTATATTTATCAGGCATTCAAATGTCATAGAAACTTGAGAAGTTTCTACGTAAGAAGGTATGAAAATTTTAGAAATCATACACATTTTCCCACAGTCAACTTGTCCTGTGAGGTCATCATCAGCCTGCAGAACCAGACTTGTCTGCACCATATA